CCTATATTTGACTTTCTTGGTTTGATGTAAGAGTGTACTCTTTCCGAGGTTCTCATATACTTTAGGTAGAACACGAATTATACAGTGATCCGAGCTAGACAATGGAGCACGTTTATGAGTCGCATATATACCCACATCATTAATGAAAACGAAGTCTAAATGAGCTTTCAAAAGAGTAGGAAAATCTACTACGTTTTGGTGACCTAGTGACGTAAGGAAGCTACAGTCACATGAATTGAAACCACCACACACAACTGAAAGTGAATCACTGAAGGCAGTAACAGCGAACTCAGTGAATTCATCAGCGAAAACAGATAGTGCAGATGATGTGCAATCTGGAGTCACGTAGATATTGGTAACATAAAAATATTTGTGTTTATTAAGATGTTTTGGACGACATCTTAGAGTTAGACAGTCGATAAAGTCATTTGAAAAACTTAAAACACACAAACGAAGATCGACACCATTTTATGTTTACAAACGTAGCTACACCGCCACCACACCTCTTTTTATTGTTTGATCGATCCTGACGATAAATTTTGAAATCACGTAGTGTTACTAGGCAGTCATCCTGTAAATCATTTAACCAAGATTCTTGAATTGTGATGATACCACAATTACGATACATATGTTGACTTAGTAGGAATTGCAGATAGTCCACTTTGTTGATTGGTGATCGACAGTTAGATTTTAGCAGCTCGGGAATCGACATACGATTAATATTCATTCTCTTTAACTCATATTGCCAACCACCACGATGTCTTTTATAGTACTATTTGTAACCTGTGCAGCAAAAGGTCGTAGGCTTTTCACAAAAGTGCATGAATAGGTTATGCGATTAATGGACATAATTATAAGTTAAAACAAACGAAAGAAAACAGATAACTTGTTGAAATAATCAGATGGCAGAAACAGGTTGTCCAGATATTCAAGCCGGCCGCTTGATTGTCCACTTTGTAAAATTAAATCTCGGTCATTGGAAGATTTGGATACTACTCCAAGCACCCTGGTTCGATTTGGTTTTACGTTCGCTTGACTCCCTAGTCTGTAGCGTGGTGTCGATTCGCGGTTGACTATGAACACCGCTACAGAGAAACACGTGCCAAATAAATCCATAAAATCCCCGGGTAGCCAATTATCAGAAGGCAGTTAATGGACCAAGTCGAGATATATTTGCTGGCGATCTCGTGGTATCGAAAGGATACCGAGATCGTACCAGGATACAAGCTTGGTTACAGAACGTAACCGAATCCGCGCGAGGTCACAATCAAAGTGTAAGTATAATGGATGTTTTTAGCACAGTTAAACAAAGAACACATTAAACAGTCACTGGTACAGTTGGTTATAATAATAATTGTTTTCAATAAACCAATCGTGTTCTCGTGATAAAAGTGAGTCACTACAAGTCTGTAAACCTTTAGCAAGGTGACTCTGGAGATATTTTGAGGCATAATTTGATTTAGAAGCTGTTTTATCAACTCAATGTCATGCTCAAAACGAGTTTTAGGTTCAGAGCTTTCACTTGCCTTGATTCTATGAAAAATAACTGACATATCACTGAGATTGGTCTTCAATTTCTCGACTACCTTTTTGGAGAGGGGAGGATTTTCCTTTATATCGTTATGTCGTTTCTTGATTACGACATGTACCCGGTCGTCAGCATTCGTTGGAGCAGCAGCCACAGTCGCGTTAAATATGCTGTGGGATTCCGGAGGGTTATCGATGGCCTGGGACGTCAGGTTGTGTTTCCTGCTAGAAAATGACCTAGCCTTGTGAATGCGATTTCTAGACGGTTCCTGCCGGACACCATGTAGAAAACGTGGGACAGGAAACTTCCTTTCTTGAGGTTTTAATTAAGACAGACCTCTTTGAAGACGGACGTTCCTACTTTGATCTATGTGAGTCAGTTGTTTCCGAGCTCACTTAAGGTAGCTTCACATTAATTTGTGTGTCAACAGAGCGACTGCCACCAACCTGCCTACCAAAACACTTTTTTGTAGCATTCACCATTGAAATGGCCTCGGTTAGTAAGGCGTTTGCGTGCGAACTGCAATACTGACAAAACCACACGCAACTGTTTGTCCTAAACCATTTGAAAGCCACAGGCGTCATATTCGTGCGAACGTCGTGGTACCAGCCTTTGCACCCATCACACTTCCTGCCGCTTTCGACGGGATATCAATAGCCTGGACGTTGGCAATTTCATTTCTTGCACTGTCCATTCATCGAAGAGAGGTTTTCAAAAAGAAACTAGATACAATAGTAACCAGAGACAACAGTGATCTATGACCAAAAATGTGGAAAACTGTAGATTGTTAGAACCAAAAGTACTAACAAATACAATAGAGAAGAAAATACTCAAAAGTACCAACGATAAACTATTTTAGAAACAAAAAAGATACTCCATTTGGATACTTTAACTGGAACAAATCCAACCAAAGAATAAAAAGTAGTCTCGATAAACGTTCAGAACAATAGAATGTATTCAGCGAGAAAAAATATTAGTGTCCTATTAAATAGCACACTCAAGTGACGGTCCTTGCGGTTTATAATCCTCTAAAATTCCTGTATTTCCATGAAAACGTGTGCTTTAAGTTTAAATAAACTTTTTTATGTGAGTTGTTTCAGTAGTTGATTATTTCATTTTAATTGGGAATCCCAAAATGACACATGACATCTTACATTTGTCACTACCAACTGATATTTGATTTTTGAATCCTCGTCATCATGAAATATATTCTTCGTTGAAAATATTCATGTTGGCTTTAGAACCTGTTCAACAAATCATAACAACATTTCATGTAGACATCATCTATAATCTTACTTGTGATTTTATCTATGATTAAACCCGAAATGATTTCTTCTCAATCCCTATGTATGAATCAAGTTTTTGTGAGTTATAATACGTTTTTTCATGTTATTAGTAATGAAACAGCCACTTTACTCTACCAATTCACCTAGATGTGAGTATGTGATCTAACATTCAGATGTTTATCTATATATCGCTACCCCTTTTTTATTAGAAGAGTATTATGTCGTATAAACACAAGTAAAAGTCTCCGGGATTGAAAAGTTTGTAGCTTTTTAACTGGAGGTCGCATTTTCTAAACAGGACATTAAATTTTAAAAAGCGAGTGGATTCGGGTAGCTTGCTACTTAGTTTCCTGATGTTAAAGATTAGGGAGATCTGCTATGATATTCATGATAGAAATGTTATTGAGCACAACAATTTCAAATACACACTCTGTTGTTTCCTATAGTATGACATTTAAACGATTTAATCTCAACTGGATATCTCATTAAAGAAACCTTAATCGCTTGTCTCCGAACCATAAGAATGTTATGCAATATATTCGGCTTCCCGGACATCAGATTGTGTTTAATTTTCCATCCTTCTTTGTCGAAATCCAAAATTTTCTTTTTGATTTTTTAAAGATATACACCAGTCACTTTCATACGTAAAATACAATCACTTACAAAAGGTTGACCCAAACGAATTTAAATGAAATGGATTCTTAGCTACCGAGAAACATCACATCATTTTTGCCCTCATACAAAACTGAAATTCCTAACTGATTGCCTTACGATTGTTTACTTGTTCTTTGATCATCATTAATGAGCAAATAAATACGTCTGAGTTTTAACTTCGTGCTGACTATGAATTCTTATTGAGATATCAGTTTTAGTTGAAGCTGTTATTCTTATGAAAAATAAGTTTTCAGACATTAATTAGCAAAGATTGGGTCTAACAAGTGTATAGCCTATTCTCAAAACGAACCAGAAAGGAAGTGAAGTCGGATTATTAGATAGAGCCTAATATTGAATAATATTGTAGTAAGATTAATAAAAAGGATAAATTATTGTTACATCTGTGATACTTTCCACTGAAAACGGTATATAAAAATTTTCATTTCCTAAAAACTGTTTCTGAAGTCTTTTGGTGGATGAAATGGAAAAGGTTGATCTCATGGCTTGGACTTGGACGGCAGTGAAAAATTATGTTAGATAAACGGTAGGTTTACATATTACTAAATGACAAATATCAGCTTTCGGAGTACAAGACTGTGTTTTCAGTTGCATTAAGAATATATATTGTTAAGTAATTGGAACATTGTTTGTGCCAACCTTAACCAAGTTGTTATTTTCAACGTGGTTTATTATTAACAATCGCTTCTGGTTTATCTGATTATTGAGCACAACTTTATGATACTTAAATAAGACTTGATCTGATTCACTATAGATAAAATACACAAAGTATCTAAATAATTGTAGCAATAAATGAATGTCAATAGATCGTTTGACTGACAAAAAGTCTGAGGTAAATATTGCGAACTTTCAAGAGTTACTTTAAAATTTGGAGATCTGTCTGAAGCGTCATAAAGATCTTTTACTATTGGAAATTTAACTATTTATCATCGGTTCTCACTCAAGTCAAATGATAGCTCAAACATATTTTTTATTGCTGACGTTTCATGTGATTTGTAGCTATGATTATCCTCTGTTATATGGATGGAAATATTTATAGTAACTAAGCAGACATTACTATGTCAATTCTCTTCAACTATTTAAGTTAATACTGAGCTAAATAATATTTAGAAACAAAATTCATTTATAAGTTATCCAAGTTTATAACAAGCTACCACCAATCATGTATTCAGAATTCACCTCCTATCATATATATCAAAGTATATAAGACAGAACTTAAAGAAAATTTATTAATCTCACATCCTTATTATTTCACCAATAAGTAAAGATGATCAATATGAAGTGTTTTTGGAAAATACAATTAGTAAATAACCTTCAGTCACCTTCAATAAAAAGGAAGGTAAATAATTATAGACAGGTAAATTAATCAAGTGACCAATATATATATATATATATATATATATATATATATATATATATATATATATATATATATATATATATATATATATATATATATATAAAGTGTTTATATAACTCTTTATAATTTGTAAGTAATCAAAAATGCACAATCATTATAAAATAGTTGTAAGTTTATCAAGGGCATCACAAACAGTCTGATCCTAAAATATAAAGAACAATAAAAAACAAACAATAAAGAGCTTTCTTCATCACGAGTTCATAGTTAAAAATAAAGTACGACATGCTGTTTTGAGTAGTAAAGTTAATGATGAAAATCATTGTGAAAATAAGAACAGAATAAAAATTTCTCTATGAAAACCATCACAACTCAAAAAACTATAAGTAAATTATTAGAAACAAGTAAAAGTTTCATAATCATGTAGTTTGACCCTTACTATTACAATAACTCTTTAAGCAGCCAATGAAATAAATTATTTATGGTATTATAATAATAAAACAACAATCAACACGTAAAACTTCACACCATTTTTCAAATGTTTTAGTTGGTCTATAAAATGGACCGTGTATGAATTCTGTTGTTGATACAGAAAGTTAAATTTTATTCTTATTTACAACTCATAAGAGAGATTATTCGAGATTCACTTCACGATCGACTGAAGTATGTAGTACTACTACTAGTGTTGTGATGAAAATCTAGTAAAAGCTAACTCCTAACCATAAGTAAATATTACTATCTTCGTTCATTTGTTCACTAGATATGAGTTGTTGGTTTATGCCTTTATTTGGAGGTTATCAGCTCATGCACCCAGACTAATGGGAATGAATTTATTAAATTTAGCACAGCCTAAATGCTTCATAGTAAATCGTTTTTAATGAATGTTTATTGCCCGTAGGAATAAACATTTAGAATTTTTTATTTAATACTGTATTAATAACTGATCAATTTCTTAAAAAATAGCAAATTGTAAAGTCTTGAATGTGAAAGTTTGGTTCCTTAAGTTATTCAGTTAATGACTAACTAGTCAAAGTGTATGAATAAACCTTAAATTATGTCCATATGAAAACCATGGAAGATGATCCTCCCTGATCAAAACGTTTATACATTAATTTCTGACTCATCACAAATCCTCAGATGTCTATATTGCCGAACTAAACAATTAGATTACAAGACATGGTTACACTGATCAATGAAGTAATTTCCAGAAAATATTTATCTTTCATCAAAGAAACATTACCCGGTTACTTAGAAGCTATTTACAAGTGTATGTATTATGTTTTGAAATATACTTAGGTTATGAAGCGTAGAAATACTGCCTCGATTTAAGAAATAAAACTGAGTTCATTTTAAATTTCTGGGGTCAAGTACAGAAACTAATGAACCACGGGGTCTTCTGAAGTTGCAGTCTCCTAATAAAGTGAACCAATCAAAACCTTCATTCGAAACCTCAACGAATGTGTATTTTAATTCCACACGTACTTAATTACTTAAATTAGACCTTTTACTTTCATGGAGCAGTATTTACCCTCCACCAGGATCCTCTATCCAGCTCTGTATTGGGCCCTCTTTTCTAATTTATATTCATGATTTTGATGTCTGCCTCCGAGTTCTAACGCAATGTTTTCCTTGGTCATCCTCGTTTCCTTTCGCCTTTAGAATTCCAGGTTAGGGCTGATGACCTACAGAACGTATATACTACAAGTCTCCAGGAACTTTTTCCAATTTCCTCTTCAGCTGGAAGCTGGTTTGTTCTCTGCCATAGTAGTGATAGAAGGGAAAGATCATCTGCGAAGTACATGTCGTCTAGCTGAATCCAAAGTGAGAGTAAGCAACAATGCCTGGCATCGATCTTCAGTTGGAATGCAGTTGTCAGCCATCCTTCATGAACAACTTTGTAGTGCAGTTCATCGTAAGAATTCAGTATGATGTTGACAACTTCCTCAGGTAGACTTAAGTGTCGAAGAGGGTTCCATGAAATTCTTTATCCACACTTTCAAATGCTTTCTCATAATAAAGAGAGTTGATTTACGGTGATGGACTCCACTTAATTAATTCTCTCGATTTGGTCTGCACACGATGGTATATACTACTTATATCTGTCTACATCAATAGCACACATCATACTACTACTGTAAATGTTTTTATAACAGATATTAGTAATATTTGTAAGAGTTTGTAATTTCATATTCAAGATTTTAATTGATTAATCACTATTGGGATATGAGAATCCTTAGCAGATATTACCATTTATTCATTAGCTTTTTTATTTATGTTGGTTAATGTCTACTAGTGTAATTCAATAGGATTATTTCATTCTAGAAGAAATAATTCTTTTAGCTAAATGGTAAACCAAATAAAATCATTCAACTTTCAAGTTTTAATACATAACATCAATTAGAATAAATTAATGATAATATTTTCATAAATACATTCTAATTCTTGATCATTATTGTTAAACCTCTTTAATTTGAAACTTTCTAGTTCATTGTAAAAAGAAAACTAGACAAGTATGAGTACAATGGATTATTGCTGTGATTACTTGTAACTAATTACGTTTTTTTCACCTTTCAAATGTAAACAACCTTTATAAATCAGGAGTTTTGTGGAGATTTTAGTAATATCAGAAGTTGAAATCATGAGTCAGTTGAAGCTAGACCACCATGGAAAATCCGGAAGTTAGACATTAACACCGTTGGATGCCGACTCAGTGGTCTAATAGTTAAGCGCTCGTGCGCGAGACCGACAGGTCCTGTGTTCGAACCTCGCGGGGGTGGGTTCGTGGGTGCGCACTGCTGAGAAGTCTCACACTAGGATGAAACGGACGTCCAGTGCTTCCAGGTTTCCCATGGTGGTCTAACTTCAATTGACTCACGATCTCAACTATTGAAACCTTCATAAATCTTTGATATTATCAATTAATTATCAATTATTTTTCTAATGAAAATAAGTTAATAGAAAATTAACCATAGACTAATATAAACTTACATAAGTACACGCCTGTAAAAATTCTTCATAACTTATTACACCATCTTGATTTAAATCTAATCTCTATTAAAAGATTAAATAAAGGAAATTATTTACTTTTTTTCATGGATATTTCTTTCAATTGTAGGTGATCTTGTTTTATATTTTAAAAATTCAACTATTTGAGAACAATAACTGAAGATAGTTGATCATAAATATCTTAGTCTTTTATAAAAAAATATGAACTGATTCAATTTGATGCATACTTTGTTAACAAAATGTAAAGGAACTTTACAAAATGAATAGTAAAGGAGGTAAAATAATTATTTTAGTGATAGATAAACTAACTACAGAGAATCTAATTTGGTGAATATAATGCCTCAATATAAATATACAAGTACTTCTTTCCAACAAGTAATTTGAAATTAAATAACCTATAACCGATTGTTTTTCAAATTTTTAGAACACATGATGAATCAGGACCACCTAAACAATTTACATATGTCAACAGAGAGAATTTGTCAAATATTGTCTAAGGTAAAATAAGATCACTCGTTATGATCTGAGAGACCTCTAATGTATAATTCATGGTTATGTGAAACGTTTAATATCTGAAGTTGTTCAACAAACTTCATTGAAACATGTTTGAAGATTATCTTTCAGTATCATTTCGTGTACTGATCACATACATAAGCAAACGTGAACTAGTATGGGAGTTTTATCCATATAATATTTAGTTCTTAGTAATAATGATCACGAAATAAACCACATTGAAACAGTGAGTTCCTTTTACACATAGTTCACTTAACTTATTCAGCTGTTTAACCCTATCTATTGATTTTTGAACACTATAGTTTATAACAATGAAAGGATTTTCCAGTTGAACAGTGAGAATTTAATGCCAGACTTAGATAAAACAGTGAAGATCAATGCTTTTGGATAGTCATTTCAAACTCTATATGTAAGCAACAGTTTGTCTATAATGAATATTGTACTTTATCTATCGATAAACAGTACGTTACATTTAGCAAGGGTGTCGGAGTTCATTTAACTTTTTACCATATAGTTATATTTTTTTCATGTCTTAACTTAGTTACACGTTTGTTTAATGCAAATATGATCAAGCATACATCGGTGAAACCATTGTTTACGCATCTTGCCAAAGAATATTCCTGAAAAAAAAGTTTTTCTCCACTATTGAATTGTTTACAAATTACAGTACAATTGAAAATATAGTAATTAATCATTTCAGAAACTGGTTACCTCATGAAAATTTATGTTTCTAAGTATAATATTTATTTTCATTTGTAATCGAAAACTTGTTTGAATTGAAATATTTGCCAAAATGTTATGGAATAACTCTTTATCATTACCATATAATACTGAGTATATTTTCAGAATGGGTTTTGTGGAGATTTTTAGAAATTCCACAGGTTGAAATCATGAGTCAATTGAAGCTAGACCACCACTGAGTATATTTACTACTTCTTATTTTAATCTAAGTTTTTTCTATTTTAGCATTTTGCAATATACTATTTAAACAAACAGTATTGTAAGATACATGCAACTGTTTTATTTTTATGTTTCACAACCGGTAATGTTTCAATCCTGTAACGAATCATTCATCTCTATGATATTAGGGTTTCAATACTTAACTCATTATTTTAGCTATCATGGTATCTCCTTTTTCCTTCCAATTTTTAGTTTCTTCATGTATTCTACTCTTAGAAAGTTGAAATAAATTATTGAATTAATGTCGTTAAATCACGTGACATTATTTGTTCACAAAATACTTTGGTATTAACTCTTTTTATGAAATCCTTTTATTGTATTATATGCGTATTTTTGATTTCGATGCTAACAATCTTTGAACAATGAATATTCTGGTAAGAGTAAAGCTTTCATCAAACTAACAGTCGATTTTAAAACCGAAATATTCGTAATTTAACTTAACTATAAAAAATGAAATTCACTTAGTATTGTTTGCCTGTATTTTCTAATTGTTGTTAAGGACTGAAATTGATCAGTCTATTGTTTGAATATGTGCATCCTTTGCGGATTGCCTCGATATTGCCTTAAGTCACAAACTTTATAAGTAAAGATGGATGGTGCCTAGTATTGGAATCCTGGACGCACGTTTCGTGCTATTTGAGACTCGTCAGTAAACCTAAACTCTAAGATGCAGGTACATTCAGCTGACGAGTCCAAAATATAACGAAACGCGCATCCTGAATTCCACTGCTAGCCACCATTCATCTTTGCTTATATAAAAAGTGAACTTTGAAATTTTCTCTAAAGAAATTGAATTTTTTTATTTCTATAGTGTACAAATATCTCATTGATTGGTGATATAAAATGTGTACAATTTATAATTTAGTTCACCGGTAGTTAACCACTAAAAGATTTAGAACAAAAAGTTTTGATACTTTTTCATAGAAAACTTTGAATTTTAATGATCAAAAGTAGACATGTAATTCTTAATTAGTCTTTTTTGGAAGCAGAATCTTCAATTTTATGTTAATTTCGTTTTATGCGAAAAGCACAGTGATACTTTAGTTGCCTTCATGGTTTGCATTGATTCAAAACTAGTAGTTCGTTAAGTCACGTTGTCTGAAGTCATAACACAATTTAAAAAAAACGAAGACACGTACCATGCACATCACTGAATTTTTTTGAACATATAAGCAGAATCAGTAAATATCACATTTTTTATCGTTGTTTAATCTTTTTACAATTGGAAACTTAATTTCTTACTTATCGGTTAACATCACCTTGATGTGTTCTGTCGTGGAAACTTCAGCTATATTAGTTCCTAGTTAGTTATGAATAGATGTTACTACGTAACATAAACCTGTCACGTGAAGGCTAAAGTTGACAAATTATTGTTGCCTAATGGCTGTTTATTAAACTGGTTTATCTTGTTCTTCAGTCAATAACGATACTGACAATGATAGATAGTGCAACAACACGAAGAACCTCATAAAGTTTACACTCACTTATCGATAGGACTGATACGATGGGCAAGAATTAGGTCTGATAGTCAGACCTTAATTAGCTGGAGAGTAAGTGACTTACATGATATTTTTCTCCAACTTTCCATAGTTTTTGACTATTTTTTCATCTCACCATTTTGTTCGTGTGCTTATCATTCTATTGCATGGAAAACCTATTCTTCTAGGTTGTGATCTTATCTTATTTTCAAATCATCCCGTATCATGATTCAATACTTCAGTCTTGCTAACACACATTACTCGATCAGTGATAATCATCTAATGATCATCATTCTATCCTGTCATTTTAACAGTCAAAAATTAGTTTGCTAATTTATAAAACTTTAATTTATTACGTGGACTCAGATTTTTCTGTATGTTAGCAAAATAAGACTATAATCTCTACCCGACTTATTGAGCTAAGTTAACGATTAGGTTTGTATATGAGTGATTGTAGATGAATTTACTGAGCTTTCGTTCGTCTCGGATTTTTTATTTGTTATTTTTAAGGGTGTATGTACAAATATTTGACCACTCATTTCAGTGGCTAGCCTAATATCTATCCACCATACAATTTAATTTCTTATATCCTGAAGAGAAAATCATATTCGCATATAATGTTAAACAATTCCACCAAATATTCTACAAATAAAATTTAAAAATCAGACATTTACTTTATCTGACTATTGTTTTGAAATGAAGTATAGTGTTTGCGAAGTCATTACCATTATTACGCTACAGAACAGCTAGATATCCATCGATGATCAGTTAAGGCTAATTTTATTGAGATGCATAAGTTGAAAGGTTTAGACGCCAGTCCTCAGGATTCATCCAGTTTTATAAGAACCGATCAAATTTAAGCTGCTTCATCATCATTTCAAATACTCAATACACAATAAATAATTCATTTACAAATTTAGCCATAAAAAAACATAAAATATAACTCACTTGAAATACCCTTTCTACATGATTAGCTGTGGTCGATTCATTAATTGGCGGTTCTGTATTTCTTCCCAATAAATCATAAATTGCATTGACAACTTTAAGCATTTCACCTTTAGTCACATAACCATCACCATTAATATCATACAGGCGAAATGCCCAACGTAATTTGTCATTTTGTGTACCATGCATTAAACACGATAAACATTGAATATATTGCTAAACAAACAAGTATATCAGAAGGGGTTTTGTGGATATTATCGCAATTTGAATAGTTTAGATCATGAGTCAACTGAAACTAGACCTCTATGACAAACCTGAACGACAATTTCTTCCCATTGTAGGACTCCTCAACAGTGCGTATCCACGATCCCGTCCTGCGAGATTCAAACCAGGGACCCATAAGACTGGCTTCAAGAGGGATATACTGGAGTTCTAGTGAGAAGCAGTGACCAGTGGAGTTCAACCAGGTCTGTTCTGAGGTTCAGTGGTAGATGTGTTGCTCAGTTTCATGGAGTGGTTGAAGTTAGACATTAAAACCGTTGGATACTGGCTCAGTGATCTAATAGTTAAGCGCATGCGCGCGAGACTGATAGGTCCTCGGTTCAAATCTCGCGAGTCGGGATCATGGATGCGCACTGCTGAGTCCCACAACAGAATGAAATGGCCGTCTAGTACTTCCAGGTTTTACATGACGTTCTAGCTTCAAATGACTCATGACCTCAACTACTGAAACAAGTACACATTGAAAACTGATCGATATGATAATAAAGATTAAGTAAATTCCTGGTAAATAATCCTTAGTTACAAAATTTTTTTTCTTTTTAATATAGGTTGTATAAAATACAGAACTCTAATTCTGCTATTTGCAATGAGAGTACAGAATTATTGTAATGATAATACCTATTCATTTCGACTGGATCAAAATTTAGTTATGGTATTATTATAACTAATAAGAAAATCACACATTTTATTTCGTGCTATAAAGGTGGTTTGAAAATAGATTTATTAAGGGCAGTCACCAACTGACACGTTCTTCAAATTTTAGAGTAAATAATGTCGATTTTCATTTAATGTAACTAATCCCAAGTTAACATATGCGTGTAGTTTCAAATCCATGTATAGTCCATTCAAAATATGAAGAGAAAACATACAATTGAACAATTCGTCTCACAATTTAGGAAATATCAGAAATAATTTGAAAATTAAAGTTTAATGAATGTTATTATTCAATCGATAATGCATTTTATAACACAACGAAGAAATTAGCAGGGAAATTTAATAAACCAAAGTGACCAGTTAAAAATAAGGAAGACAAGTCAATCACTGAGATTCAGGAACAGAGGAACGGCTGAACAGGACAATTGAAGCACTCTTGGATAGACACGACTCACTGAACCAACCAGTCATCGAAGAAGTACACTCAGATCTTCCTGTGGATGTCACCTCACCAACGACTGAAGAAATCAGATTGGCCATCAGACAAATCAAGAGTGGGAAAGCAGAAGCTTGATCAGACAACATACCAGCTAAAGCACTAAATTCAGACATAGAATTAACTGCAAAAATGCCCCACATTCTATTCAGAACTGATTGGGAGGAAGACCAAGTGCCATAGACAGAGTGGACAGAAGGATATCTCATCAAGATAACAAAAACAGGAAATATCAATTAGTGTGAGAGCTACAGAGACAACAGAGTATTGTTGGACCGAATGGAAGATTCGGTAGACGCCCAGCTTCCAAATCAAAAGGTTGGATTCCGTAAGGATCGGTTGTGCACAGACCAAATCATGACACTACGTTACTATACATCAACTTCCATGATTATGAGAAGGCATTCGACAGCGTGGATAAAGAACATCATGGAACCTTCTTCGACACTATGGTGTACCTGAGAAAGTTGTCAACATCGTACGAAATTCATAGGATGGACTACACTGCTTTGTTGTTCATGAAGGATAGCTGATAGATGCATTCCAAGTGAGGACCAGTGTCAGACAACATTGCTTACTCTCTCCCTGCCACTTTCTTTTGGTGGTTGACTGGATTATGAAGACCACATCTGACGAGAAGCACGGAATACAATGAACAGGGTGGATGCAACTATACTATTTAGATTTCGTAGATCACTTAGTTCTTCTATCCCATACACACCAACAAATGTAGGTCAATATAAACAGTGCCGCAGCAGCCTCTGCATCAGTAAGCCTCAACATATACAAGAGAAAACGCAAGATCCTGAAATACAACACAGAGAACACCAACCCAATCACACTTGATGGAGAAACAGTGGAGGAGGTGGACACTTTCACGTACCTGATCAGCACCGTCGATAAATTGAGACAATTCGATGCCGACGTGAAGGCAAGGATTGGCAAAGTAAGGACCTCATTCCTATATTTGAAGAACATATAGAACTCAAAAAACTGTCAACCAATATGAGAAGCAGAATCTTCAGTACGAACGTCAAGACAGTTGTACTGTGCGGAGCTGGAAGTTGGAGAACGACCACAACCATCACCGAAGAAGTACAAGTATTTATAAACAATTGTCTACGTAAGATACTGAATATCCATTGACCAGATACTATCAGCAACAACCTACTGTGTGAGAGAACAAACCAGCTTCCTGTTTAAGAGGAAACTGGGGAAAGATGCTGTAGATGGATGTGATATACATTTGGAAAATCGTCTGACTACATTACTAAGCAAGCGCTAACTTGGAATCCTGAAGGGAAGTGAAAAAGAGGAAGATTAAGGAAGACGTTACGTTGATAATTGGAAGCAGACATGAAAATGATGAATAAGAACTGGAAAGGATTGTCGAGGACAGAGTTGGATGGGGAATGCTGGTGAACTTTCTATGCTACTCCACGAGAGGTAACAGGCGTAAATAATTGTGTAAGATACATTTGAGTTAAAATCATAACTAGTTAAATGAGCATTTAGTCTACCTTGGCTTCTGATATTTTAAGCGTAACAGTTTAGTGATCATTCTTTTTTACAGTGAAATTGTTGTGAGGTGTTACTCTAGTTTATGCCAATAATAAATCAAATAAAGCAGTTTACGAGGGATTGATGACAATGAATTTCCAATAAATTTATACTTAACAGTTCTATTTCTTTGACTGGATTAATCTATAGCTTTTCCGTGTTTTCCCATTTATATTTTTATGGTTACCAAGTTTTTGAAGTTTAATTATGTAATCCATTTAGTTGTTATCAACGGATCATAAATTATCTGATATAACTTAATCATTTTAATTTTTGGAAACCAATATTACATAATTTTAGAAAGAAGCATCATGAAGGTTTAACTAAAATCAATATTTGTTCACTTATATGTCTTTCTAACTTGAACAATAGGAATTTTTAAAGTTTTTAAAATTGATTGTTTTGTAATGTAAAGAAATATTTGAGGGTCAGAAATAGTCGCTTATGTAATTGTATCAAATAATCAACGGAAACTATAACTTTTTTAATGACACTATCAGAGCTCCTTACTACTTATGTTAATAAGTTTAAGGATGTTCAGATTATGGGTAACAGTTGGATCTGTGACTCGTCAGGTAATGTACTCAGAATGCCTAAATATCATCAGCTACTGAGAGATAGAAATCCTGGATATTAGTTAACAAAGAGATATTACAAACCCATGCTACTATTAATTGTTTCAATCTTGGGATTAAACAATGAATTTACTAGCTATTTATGAGTCGTTAATAATTAATTCACAAATTGTTTTATTGAATTTAACTTACTTCAAATGTTAAAGTTCCATTACGATCTTGATCAAATGATCTGAATACTAATTGAGCGTATACAGTTGCATCTAAAATGTAAAAAAGAAAAGAAATCACTATTCAATTAAAACAAAATGTAACGTGAAATATTCAATGAAATATAAATTTAGAATATTACCGTTTCAACAAACAGTTATGTTCCAATTTTCTGTCTACACAAATTATTGAAGAATATCGGTAACTGTTAACTTAGAATACAATTGTTATCTTCCATTCACTGTATGAATAATTGATGTAAACATGTAAGTAGTATTTGTTTGTTTTTAAGAGAAAAAAACCCAAATACCAAAGTGAGTAAACGATTAAGTGTAATCTTTCGATAAATAAATAATGGTTTTGTGAATTAAGTCATTTCTTTAATGCTATCCTTTTCAAAATCAATGTAAACTTTATCGGAATTAACCCCTCTAAAATGAACAAGTCTGAATATTAAGAGACACTAATTTTGATAAAATAACTGATTGAAACGGAATAAAAAAATTTAATACAACTTTATTCTACTCAATATAAATTGTATTTTTAGTGATAAATGTTATGATATAGCTTTATAAGTACTAAAATACGAATCATAGTGACAGGGTCAACCCCATGACCACCTTTCTCATCGGTAGTAATGAAACACTGAATAGGTATCAATCGACTTCTTTATAAATATTGTATCTTGGAAGGAGTTTTTTTGTAGTGTATTTATTTGCTGTGGATCAATACCATTACTTTATGACAGGTTTGTTTACCAAGTAATCCTTAGCAGTATAATTTGTTATTACATAACGGCACTGATTATCCACCAATGAAATAATAGTTTGATGATTAGTTCAGTCCTCACTACTAACTTTAACTGCGGTTATTAATTACATATAACTTGCTAGAACTCATTGGTTTCATGAGTAATTTTAAAATTTGAAAAGGTCCAAAATAAACAAAATTTCGTCATCAATTGATATTTTGAGATAAAGATTATAGTTCTCTTCAAAGATATGATCATTTCGTATCAATTGTAATAACTGTCCAAGCATTTCTAACAACAATTCTTCAATACATTCATACCATTATTGCTTGAGTATACACAAAAATGCACTCAACATAGTTCAGTAGTTCTTAAAACAGAACCTGAATCGCAGGTCATGTGTTTTCTGCAAAGCTGGTACTAATCGTTTTCTGAAAATGTGCATTCGATATCACTTTCTTAAGCTGTACAATCGTATTCATAGATAATTTCTCGTGTGATAACCAGTGAAATTAGGGTTAGCAAGTCTTGGATTTTGGCGCAACACTCGTTTATCGTTATAGTTACATAGCATTTTGGCATTGTAGCTGATGTCAGTTTGTGGTGAGAACGCTTACTCTAGTTCCCAACCACAACTTTAAACTCTAAACGGTAATATCTTAATTCTTCATACTAAGTTATGACCTTCATTTAACCCTAGTAAGTAGTTGAGTTGTCTCAAAGTCACTTCATTGTCCCTCAAAGGCCGTCCGTAAATCATAGCCCCATCAGCTTGGATTAACTATACGGTATGTTGAACAAATATCACTCAAAGACTTCATGTCATTTCATATATTTATCAATCAGCGTGCTTTTTCTATTTTAACAATCGAAAATTTGTTTATAAAATCATGAAACCCCACCTCTCATTACATAGTTTTTCACAGTTAAAAAAGGGTCTTTTTCGATTCATTCTTACGTATAAAATCATAGAATTTACTGTAAATTAATGATCGGCATTTATAACTGTTTAACCCCATACTACTCAGATTGTTTGTCATGTGTTAACCAGTAGGGAGTAATCAGCAGGAGATATTTAGCCGGTAGTTTTCTCCTATTGATAATTATCATTTGAACAAAATAATATAAATAAAGTTTTGTTTCACAATCAAGATAATGTTGTTTGATATTGTATTTAGACAAATAACATTTCGGATGGTTAAGCCATCACTAATTTTACCAAAGACTAGATCAAGTAAGGGTACTGATCAGTATATTTTAATTATGCTTATGATAGTAAAGGTAGTTTTGACTGATTCAAACTAAAACACTACGTTTTGATTTTTGATTGGTCTTGGTGATAGCCATCTTGCCTACACGTAGGTCAGTATATGTTTAAATTAATGAAACCTTTGACTGATTCTATTTGGTAGATGGGCTATGTTCTTTTAGTTCATAATAATTCGACAATTTATTTCATAAATATTCTTATAATTGTATTGATGACCACGTGTAGCTGAATACATGGGATAGCCTACACATAGATTTCTTATCAGCTTGGGGACTATAGTTATAACAGTTACTCGATAGATTGTCAGATGAAGTATAATCATAAAGATATCCGCAATAAATATAAAACTTCAGCGTTAAACTTCTCATCCCTAGTCTTCATCCTAGACAGGTATATTTTAATTTTTGACACTTTCGTTTACTTAGTAACAATGAGTCTATTTTCTTAGAGATTAATATTATCTTTAAGTTTTTTTTTTTGTTTTTCGGAGCGATGAAAGTAGTTGCCAAAGACATAGAGTTCATCGTTTGTGTGTGGGCTGTGATACTGCCCGGGTGCCCAAACCGAAGCAGGTGGTTTTCTTAGGGGGCCACCCCCCGAGCCTTTGACCTAAAGGTCTAACCCACAAGGCAGTGGAGCATCGTAAGGAGATGCAGTCCCATGGTAGCCGGTGACCAACGATTGGTTCATACGCAAAAAATTACTTACCTTATAAATAATTGAAAAAGATTGGTTTATACTGGCACTATGACCGGTTTGTACTAAATGGGCCAATATTGAGCTGTTCACCTTCTTCATCAAACCTTTGTTCAACCCCGCTTGATGAAGAAGGTGAACAGCTCAATATTGGCCCATTTAGTACAAACCGGTCATAGTGCCAGTATAAACCAATCTTTTTCAATTATTTATAAGGTAAGTAATTTTTTGCCAAAACTGGTCAGACTGAAAGTCCTTCAAACGGCTGAAGCAGTAGCCATCCGAATGAAGAAACCGGAGCTATGCGTACAGAAGAAATATGTTCAGCCACTCCTCCTCCCCTGGCCAACATCAAGGCCAATTAATCTATCGTAATCTGAACTATTGAATGACCCAATTTGACTATGACCTTTCGTAGTCAATTGTAATTGTCCCTGTTATCTTTATTCATAAATCTTTGTATTATTATTATTATTATTATTATTATTATTATTATTATTCGTATTATTGGTTAAACATCATTAATCTCCCTATACATGATTCATTCACTTTGCATTCATCCCTCTTTATTACGTCTTACTTATTTGATCGAATTGTAATTGCACTATTATTTCTCTCTCACCCTATTTGACCCATATTTATTCTGATCATGGATCTTAAAATTTCATTTAACATATACACAGATTCAAGTTAACATTTTATATTAGTCATATTAACATTAACAATTTTATTGTATTTTGTTTATCACAATCCTAAATTCACATGCTCTAAACGATGTACTTTACCCTTAACTTGGCCATTTTTCGGATTAATAATTTGGATATATAATTGTAGAACCTGAAGAGAATTTATCGAAAAGAATATTCTTCGTTCAAATAAAGTGTTAACTTGAATCAGTTTATAACTGAAATGAAATTGTGAGATAAATTATCAGAATAAATATGGTCAACATAGGGTAGGAGAGAGAGAGGGGGGGGAGAGAATATTGTGATTACAAATCGGAAATTGCGTAATATGTAAAATAATTGGGTCAAATGTAGTAGATTTAGGGGTGGATATTGAATAAATTCCTCAAAAAAGGTTATCAAGTATAAAGACAATAATAGTAATAATAGGAGTAGTAATAATAATAATAATAAGTTTGGGACATAAAATGAACATTAGTCAGATTACGTCACCATATTATAAGATTGATTATTAGCTAGTTGGCCAGGGTAAAAGTAGTGGCTGAACATACTTCTTTTGGATACAAAGCTCTGACTTTTTGATCCGAATAGCAATTGCTTCAGCCGTCTGTAGGATTCGCAGTCTGACGGAATTAGGTAGACTGCTGTTGACACGATAGACTATTGCAAAACATTGCTCCATGTTGGCTGTATGTCCTGTTTGAACTAAATGGTCTAAGATGGAGCTGTTAACAGTTTAGACAACACCTTTGCTCAATCACACGGGTAGGTGCTCACGAGCCAGAATGTTCAAGTTCCTACAACATCTGCCAACATAACTTCCTCCACAGCAGCAGTTGAATTGATAGATACAGAAGGAGTTGGCTAGACTAGGTAATTTATCTTTCAACTTCGGAGTGATTATTGGTCGTGTGGAGAATACTAGTTGTAGTTTAGCTGCATTAAAAGTCCTTTGAATTGATCTACTTAACTTAAGTCTTAACATTTCACTCGGCGCGTCGCCTCTGAATTGTAAGCGTATATATAGAGGCTTTTTATTTACCGTTGGGCATTCTGTACTCTGTCTTTTATTGGCTAAGTTTTTATTTATAAATTTCTCTGGATATCCATTTTCCTTCAGGGTTTTAAATAATGTCTTTGTTTCATATTCAATTGTATCCATAGTGAATATAGTCTTGATTCTATGATGTAGAGTCCTAATAAGGCTCCTCTACAACAAAAAAGGAACCTGCTGGGATCACCGGGTAAGTAATAGTGAGGTTAGACGCAGAGTAATAGGGAATGATGGTTAATGAGTTGATGGGGTTGTGAATTTTCATCGACTGAGATGATTCGGCCATGTGTTACATATGACTGAACACAGATTACCACGACGTGCAATCCTAACCGGTGTTGGAGATGGTTAGAAGAAAGTTAGGGGTGGCCAAACCAAAACGTGGCATCAGTCCTTGAAGTCACTAACTTCTGGTCCAAACCATGTTGGTAGACGCAGACTATTTGGTTGGGGTTCGCGTGACTATCGTAATCAATGGTTGGAGACTCTGAGTGACATGGCTCAGAATCGATCACAATGGTGTAGGTGTATACACTCTTTATCTTCCTTTAAATTATGAGATTAAAATCGATTCATACCTTTCTTTCTACGAACTA